ACCTGTATATTGTTCAAAAATATATATAATTAAAATGTAATTGTGTGTAATTATATATAATTTTATTATGTTATATAATTGTATTTAATTAAAAAATTTAGAATGTTTTTTGCACTTACACCTTTAATTTCATGACATTTAAACACATTTACCCTTCAAATTCTCATTAACAATATATATATATATATATTTTTAATTATAGATAATTAAATTTATATATACATAAACAATTTTTGCATTTAGACATTTTTCATAATAATAATAAAAAAAAAACACATTTACCTCTCAAATTCTCCTTACCATAATATTTGTTGTTATTATATTTTTTTTTTCTCAGTAGTGATTCTGATTATACTTTCATTACTGTAATACAATAAAAAATACGTTATTATATTTGATTTAAATCAGCATAAAGGCAGTACAACAAGTGCTACAATGATGTATAAATATTTTGCAATTTAAATATTATTTTTGAGCAATTTAAAGCAATGAAAATTTGATCTTGCAAGATGTTTAATTACAAAATATTTATACAGAAAATATTTTTTCCTAAAAATAACTTTTTTATTATCCTCTAACTAACTCTTTGCTCACGTGAGGTACATGAGGGTTTTACTTGTTTTACATATATGTTCACACAAAAAAAATATTATTCTATTCAACATAAAAAAAACAAAAGACGTATAGAAAGTGTAACAACATTGTCTCCTTTTGTGTATTAGGATCTCATGCAAAGTAATGCAATCGAAGGATTATTGAAGCATTAATCGGCCCGTCTGTTTGAAACAAAAAAATAAAGCCCGTTTTACTACAACGAATATTTTCTGTAAAGCAAAATATACGTTTTATTTATTCTCATTTTGGGGTGAAGCGTGACCCGGGCATGTCATCATTATTAGTCGTTGTAGTATCTGTAGTTATTAAAATATTTTATTTTTATTATATTTTGTGTAATAATTTTAATATAAAAATAATTGATATTATTATTGTTAATATACTTATTTATATTTGTCGTTTTTTAATACCAATTGCAGCGTATTTCATACCTTAAATGTATATGAAGTGCGCATAAATACAGTGATCTCTGCTAAAGTTTGTCTCATGTGAAGACTAGTACTCTTATTTAGCTGCTGTTATCTGGATCATCCAGAAAATGCTAGGTTTTACTGGTTAGAATTCATTGCACATGTAAAAGATGTTTTTAAAATGTAATGTTCTGTCTTTCCCCATTCAAGCGGATGGAGCTGTATCTGTATGTCAGTCACCACACAGAAAACCTTAAAGCAGCACTAATGAAGCTCAGGGTCATTCAGTCATTTGAAAAGATTGATGAGCTTTTGTGTATGAGATCTTTCGTCCCACAAACCTTTATAGAGCCGTCAGGCACTGACACACAACACCCATCTATGACAGGAGATCTGGACTTTTCTGATATTTATTTAATAGAGATAAATAATAGATATGATTGCACCTTCTGGCCACGCATCCCTCTCTCTGTATTTCCTCTCTCATTCAGTTTCTTTATCCATTTTTTATCGTCACATTTATCCTCAGGAGCCCACAAAACTGAACGACACACTGGACTCTGGAGAAATGAAATGTGTTTCAATTAAAGCTCTGTGTAATGTAGAGATGTGACGAGGAGAGAAACCTGAGTGCTGATTATATATTAATGCGTCTATTCACTTTAATGCACCTTCACTGTTGGCCACAGGCTGTAAGACTGCTGCAGTTCTGTTAGTGGACATTAGGTGGCAGCACTGCATTGGATTTCAGCTTATTAGTAAAGTTCAGTCCATCATTACTAGAAATAGTGCTGCTAGTGATGTGATGAAACCTTTTTATGTTTGTATATACAGTAAAAATTTTGAAATATTATTACAATTCAAAATAGCTGTTTTCTTGTGAATATGTGTTAAACTGTAATTTATTTCTGTGATCAAAAAGTAATGCAATCGAAGGATTATTGAAGCATTAATCGGCCCGTCTGTTTGAAACAAAAAAATAAAGCCCGTTTTACTACAACGAATATTTTCTGTAAAGCAAAATATACGTTTTATTTATTCTCATTTTGGGGTGAAGCGTGACCCGGGCATGTCATCGACAGGTTTTGTGACACAGTGAAACTGGAGCATCTCGGCAGCAGCAATCTTAAGTTGGCACTGGTTTAGTTCATTAACAAACCATCTGGGACCGCTGCGCCACTCATATTTAATCAATCTGCTCATATTGGTCATATTTGCTTATGCGTGACTGTAAACGACATTCAAATGAATCAGGCTTCAGAGGATTATCCGAATGTGCTCTCAGAGATTTCTGATGCATGTTTGAGTGTTTGTTTTGTCGTCTAGCAGAGTTTAAAGTCCCTTTATTTCTGTGTCTCTCTCCAGCGAGGCTGCAGAGGAGCTTCAGCCTAGTTCTCATGCCACGTCTTCAGTCAAAACCATGAGCAAAGCGTCCGCTGGAGCCCCGCGAGTCCCTCCAGCCGCAGCCAAGAGCTGGCAGTCGAGCAGCGCCGCAGGTCAGACCTTCAGCACATCACAAATCTGTCTGCTTTCTCTTTGTTCGCATTTGTTTCTTAAAGGGACGGGTCACCCAAAAAAAAACATTCTGTCGTCGTTTACTTTCGCTCATGTTTGACTTGGGTTTGAGTTTTTGGTCAAATAGATGTTAAGTATCTTTTTTTTTTACTTCTAATATGATCGTGATATACACTTAAGAATCAAACAAACTCAAAATAATGTGAATGTTCACTGTCTTATTTTTTTATGTGAATAAAAGTGAATGAATGTAGTGGCTGTTTAAAAAAAAAAAAAAACATGCAAGTAGTCCAGAAAACTCGTGTGTTTTCTGAAGTGAGTAAATCATGGCAGATTTTTTACATTTTGTTATTTTTTTAGTTTTGTAAAGAAATTTATATATAGGCACAATTTATATTTGTCTACAAAACTAATCTCGATTTCAGCAAAAACCTTCAGATCAAAAGGTATTTAAGCTCATGAGAGACATGAATTCAGTCAAATGTCTTGTCTCTGTTGCAGAGTAATTTCAGTATTATTTATGTACTATTTTAGAGTATTTATTGATATTTTGAATTGGCTTTTATTTGTATTTTTTCAGTTTTCATTTCAACTAGTTTTTTTCATCTAATATTTTTATATTATAATATATTTAAATATATATGTTGTATGTATATACATATAAATGTTGTAATTAATTATTAATATTATAAATGTTATTATATATTTAAAATGTAATATTTAATTATAAACAGTCTTCAGTGTCACATGATCTTCAGAAATCATTCTAAGATGCTGATTTGCTGCTCAAGAAACATTTCTGATTATCATCAATGTTGAAAACAGTTGTGCTGCACAATTTTTGTGGAAACCATGTGTTGTGGAAAAGTTTGAATAATTGACCATAATTAATTGCTGAAAATACAGCTTTGATCACAGAAATAAATTACATTCTAACAGAGATCCACATAGAACGTGTCTATTTTAAATTGTAATAATATTTCACTATTTTACTGTTTTTACTGTATTTTTAATCAGATAAATGCATATAGCAAACCACCCACTTTTACCTGAAAAAGAACCTCTCCAAAACAGTAAAGATGTAGTTATATAATATGAAGATAACGTTATGTTTTGTAATAACAGGTGTGTTTATCTGCTTTTGTTTGTTTAATAGACTCATTTTTTAGGAGTAACAAAATGCTGTGTGTTTTCTAACGCTAACGGACTCCATGCGGAGATCAATAAAGATTAAAGGGCTGTAATTCGGTCGTATGGTGGCTTTCGGTGGGTAAAATTAATTTTCCAGCTCGTGTGTGAGAAGACGCTCACCTGCTGATGGTGTCATGGCGCTGTGTTTCCCGCGTGTTACCAGCTGCTCAATGCATATGTGTCCTGTGTGACCTCTGCTATCCCAGCATCCTCCTCCAGCAGGAGTCGAGCTGCAGGCTGCGGCCGGTGCTTCTGTGTTTCTGCTGCAGGATTGTGTGTTTGCAGACAAGTAACAGACGGTAAAACCATGGTATCTGAAAACATGAAATAGTTTATCACTATTTTATTAATTATTGCAGAATTTTATAATGCTATATATATATATATATATATATATACTTTTATAAAATATTACATATTTATCATATTTTTAACCATTTTAGGTCAGTCTATTGGCATGCTAAACCCTGATTTTGTTCAGTTTAATAATTTTAGTACTTTAACTAAAATTTTATTATTTCAGTTAGTTGCCAAGACAACGTTTTCTAATTTAATTCCTTTGTTTGTTTGTTTTTTTAGTTTAAGTTTTATATAAAAAAATTTTTTTTTAAATATTTATTTATCATATTTAATAGTGTTTTAGCTTTATTTCTGTATGTTGGCAGATGAAGGCAGGTGAGCGTCGCTCCTCAAGCGTGCTGCAGATGGCAGACTGATGCTTCTGGAAATGTTTTTGAAGCTTTGAGTTAATGCTTGAATTAGAGAGCTGTGTTTTATTCAGAAAGCTCGACTGATCGATTAGAGCAGCTTCACAGTCAGGCATGTTTAGCATGTGTTGACGGTTTGTCACGGGGTTTCAGGGCTGATGTATTGTGGGTATGTGGTTGGTGTTTACCCATCATGCCCTCTGGGGGCTCTTAAGAGCAGCGTGCTGACAGGCGTCGTGGCTCGAGTGACGGCTGAACACAGGTATCTCTGTGTAATGTATGTATGGAGTGCCACCGGATGACCCGATGACCCCGATCCGGCTGGTAGAGGATCTCCTCAATTAAAGCTCATCTTCGTGATTGATTCCAGACCGCCGGATTAGAGCAGAGAGTGCAAAAGCACTGGACATCCAGCCGTTTCATGCAGCATATGGCCTTCATTTCTCGGAGGAACCTGCAGCCTCTCCTTCAGACGTTCAGATGCTGCAGAGCTCTCAGAATAACTTTATTTTGGGGTGGGGGTTTACGTCACTGATGGGGTTAGACGTATCCAAAACTAGCTTTTAGTGTGATTTTAATGTTTTTAAATTTTTATAAAATGTATTTTTAAAAACTTCTTTATAAATCTGGATTGTCTGCAGTGTTTTATACTGTTTTTTTTTTAGTGTCTAATATCTAGTTTTCAAAATGTCTGGTCATAATAAATAATATTATAAAGGAAGAATAAAACAAATTTAATAAAATAATATATATAAACAAAACATATATATATATATAACAAAAACACAAATAGTATATTATTATTATAGAATTCTACATTAAGTGTATTTTTCTATAAAATTTATATCAATAAAATATTAGTTTCATTTTTAAATGTTTAAATTATAAATTGCTAATATTTTAAACTTAGTGTTATATTTCAAAATATGAAACTATTAAGAAATTAACTTTGTATTAAATTAAATGTAATCTTTTTAATATTATAATAGTTTGATATTTTTTAAATAAAATACTATAAGTTTAAAATATTAATAATTTATAATATTAATAATTCATTTATATTTAATTTATTATAATATAATTAATATATTAATATTTGAATATAACTTACAATATTAATATAACTTAAAATATTTTATTAATATAACTTATTAACTTTATTTTAAAATGTTTAAATTATAAATTATTCGTATTTTAAACTTTTACCATAGCATTGTATTTTAAAATATGGTTAAATAATATTCATATTTAGTTTTTTTTTTATATATTATTGTTTCATAATAATGTAAACTTAAAACATATTTATAAATATATGAAATGTTGATATTTATATAATATACTTAAAATGTTTAAAAATATTAAAACTCACTAGACCTAGACTAGTTTAGTATAGTTTAGTATTTTTTGTAGTATAGTATCTTTTGGCTTGCCAAACCGTGTTTTTGTAAAGAAAAGCCCTCAGTAGTCGACCTCACGATCTGCCTACTACGAAGTTCCCACAGACCTGTTTGACACACAGCTCCGTTTCCTCAGCTGAGAGGAAGTGCTTATCTTCTCTCATTTCAGTCTCAGGATGTGACGATTCCTTCAGGAGGCTTGCAGGAGAAGCCCGTGCTGACTCTGACCTCTGTGACCTTTGACCTGCTGCTACTCAATCATCTGGAGAGATCAGAATCTGATTTAGTTCTGTTAGACAACCTCATTAACCAGCTTATATATTCTCCCATTTGATTTGGTGTCATTTATATGCTCATATTTATATTCATACTTACATTTGGTGTGGTTTTCAAAAATTGAAAGTTGGCGTTCTGTGGAGGAATACCCTCGAGAAATGGAAAGATTGTTGTTTAACAAACGGAAAATGGCTCGATGTCTCTTAGTTTGTTTGTGGTTTACTAATCAGTTTATGGCTTCAATATTTCTTGTGCGCATGTGGGCGTTGCTGAAACGCTCCTTTCATCTGATTGGTCAAACAGCCCCGTCTTCTGTACTGCGTTAATTCATAAAGAGTCGGTACAGTACTGCCAATGTTTTTACACTTTAATAAAATATTGTCGCACACCACCATTCACTAACTGCACATGCAATTTTAAGATGAAATATGTTGCTGGGCACATAATTATATGCTGGTGTGACATTCGGCGCGTGCGTCTGTTATTATTGATGCGCAAACAAACCGTGGGCACGCACTCTCGGCGCACTGAACTCTAGACCAGTCCTCAAAGTCATCCTGCGAGTGTTGTATAATGAATGCTGGCTAAAGAAGTGTGTTTTACAGTAAGTAAGTCGTGGTTTAGTGTTTCTGAAAGGATCCATATAGTAGCGTATGCAATCAAGGCAAGTCTTTTGCCATCTCCCTGTGCTCCTGTTTGGTATCGCAGTTTGATTTATTTTTTATTTTTTGACCTTGAAAAACAGGTAGTGCCTACTTCACAGTCATAATTAATGTTATTACATATAAAAGTAATAAACAACCCTCACTATCAGTGTATGAATTCATGCAGAACAGAAGACAGGGCTGTTTGACCAATCAGATGAAAGGGGCGTTTCAGCTACGCCAACATGCACACATGAAATATTGAAGCCAAAAACTGATAAAAGATTTTGTTGAATTTTTTTTTTTAGGTTAATAAAATCATGTTGATTTAAAAAAAAAAATTTATTATGCGCACATTTATTGGCATCAGTTACTCTGATTTCTGATCAGAAAACGCCAGAGCTTATCAAATGTGTTGAAGATGTCTGTCACACACACACTCACTCTCTCTCTCTCTCTCTCACACACACACACACACACACACACACAGACACACACACACACACACACATGCACACACACTCTCAGACACACACTCACACACACAAACTCACACACACAAACTCACACACACACACTCTGACACACACACAAACTCACACACACACACAAACTCACACAAACAGCTGAGCTGAGCGCGGCACACACTTCCTCCAGATGTCCATCAGCTGCAGATAAAAGCGTGTCTGCGCACCAACGTGTCACTTTCGCACCCTTACAAGCAGATCTATTCTCACCGGCTCGGAAACCAAGGGTGCATTCGCTGCGTGACCCGCTCGCCTTTGATTCTGAATGAGCCGCTGTGTGCTGCGCCTCCGCGTGACCTCTGACCCCCGCTGTCTCTCCGGAGGCGGGCAGAGAAGGGAAGGCTTGTCCGAGAGAAGGGATTATTTTGCCAGGTGTCTCCTCCACTTCTGGGAATGTTGTTTCTTTTCCCGACTTGAGTAAACCGATCCATTGTTTTGCAGAGGCATGGTGTGGATGTCCCGTCCGCAGATGGTCCCTTCAGAAGAGATAGAGTTCGTATATCTTAACCAGAACTTTCCATCACCTTCAGTCACGCTACATAGCCGCGCACAATATCGCGATCTCATTACCGCGCTCTTCTGTAACACAGGCGCTGTTGTGGGTGAAGTTCAGTGAGGGGTCGCCCAGATTGAAATCTCTTTCTCTTTGATTAGGGTTGCCCAAAGCAGGTGCACCTGCGCCGCAGACGGGCCCCTCGTTCGGACAGGTCAGCAACAGCCTCCCCAAGGGCCCGGATCGACCCGCGCCTCAGGTTCACCCCAGCGACCAGGACGATTCGCTGGTGCAGAGAGCCGAGCACATCCCGGCGGGAAAGCGCACACCCATGTGCGGCCAGTGCAACATGGTCATCAGGTGAGACGCTCACACACCTTCATCATGATACAACAGCGGTCAATGTGTCATTGAACCCTCCTCAACACACATTCACAAAGATTCAACCATTGTTAAATGACTAGATTAAAGCAATAAGCCCCAAAAAGCCGTGGTTTACAGTGAATTTATAACAGCTAAGGGGCGTTGTTAGGGTTAGCTGTTATAAATTCACTGTAAACCACGGTTTCACGGGGCTTATTGCTTTTATAAAACGGTTATTCCATATACGCAGTACGGTTTCACAAAATAAAACCGAGCAAATAAAGTGTAATGATATTAATAAAAACAGTATTCTTCCACCAAACAATGTAGCTCCTCAGAATCAGTTGTGGTTCCAACAAAGTGGTTGTTTGCAACAGACAAATGTAAACAAAGGTGTCTGTTTGTAGCGTAATTTACAACAGCTTCGAGCTTGGCTCAACCAATCAGAATCAAGGACTGGAACTCTGTTTTATAAACGTATTTTTCCCTAAACAAAAAGCTGTAAAATTTTCAGAAGAATCAGCAGCTGTGGTTGCTAGAAGTATGGAAGTATATAAAACTTCTAAATAAATATAATATAATATAATATGGAAAAAATAATGTGTTAAAATCATTAATGCATTTAATAAAACAGTTCAGTAAATAAGAATAATAATAGATACAATATAGTCAATGCTCAATTTCACAAACAAATACAGATCCAGTCAAAGCCACAGCAGAACTGTTGTGTGTCTCTGAAGCCTCTTTCACACAGAGATTACGGAAAATACACAGATAGTGTGTCCTGTGATTCATTACTGAACGAATCAAGTGAGTCAGTGATTCAGTGACTCATTCATAAATATAGTCACTAGCTCCGTATCTGAATGAATCAGCTGTTTGAACGAATCGGTTGAGTGAATTATTCAGTGACTCGCTCATTAAGACAGTGACTCGCCTCTACCTGTTGGCACTTTTAGTTTCGCGTTTAGAGTATCTTTTTTTTTTTTTTTTTTTTTTTACATACAGGAGCTACTCAACAGCTAGTATTGTAAGAAAATGGATGATTCACCATCAAAACATCTTATTGGCTCCAAGAAGAGAAGTATTTTTTTTTTTTTTTTTTTTTTATAATTTCATATTTCATCTATTAATACCAATTTATCATTATGTATGGAATGTTGAATCAAAATATTTCTTTCTGAAGCTACTTTTTGTAATATCTATTCAATGCATTTCACATCTAACACAATGGTTTCTCAGCCAAAATTGATGTGGAATTAATTTGCAGCTAGATTTATTAATGGGCACATCATGTAATGTATTAGATTAAACATTTTAGTCACCATTCATTCAATACATTCAACAGTATTTTGAAATGTCCTGTTAGATTTACTTTATTTTATACCAAATAAAGTAAAGGAATTTACCATTAATAAATGAACAGATTTGACAGTCTTTTACAGTTAAAATTACAATAATTTTATTGGCATAAAGTACGTGACCTGTAACATCTCAAGAAATAAATAAATAATAAATAAATAAACTCTATCAATAATAACAATTAAAAGAGCTTCTTTATTGTCATTGTACATGAGAAACACAAAACATGAGAAAGTTCATGTTTCACAATCCTAAAAGCAACTCCAAAGAAAAGACAAACTTCATTCCGTGTGAAAAGGTTATCTGAATGTGGAGGATCTTTCTGATATTATTCACACAATAGATCATTCATTCAGGCCCAGATAAACTCATCTAAACGATAGTGTTCATTTTAGCAGCTCAAAACACACTGAAGCATCAGGCTGATACTTTATAACTTTTCTGAACTGATTCTAAACTAAATTTGACAAGTCCTTTGTGAAAAATGTTACATTACTTTTATTTGGCATGTCTGGGAACTTGAGGGTTTAAAATGAGAGCGAATACATTTATATATTTTTATGTGTGTTTTGAGTATTAATATTATATTATTATTTATTTTTCCATTTAGGTGTTTATATATCTTTTTGACGTAACTTACATTCAAAATAATTTTTGATGTCTTTGAAAGAGTCTCTTATGCTCACCAAGGCTGCATTTATTTAATCCAAAATACAGTAAAAAATAGTGAAATAATATTATAATTTAAAATAGATGCTCTCTGTGTATATATAGTAGAGCCCGACCGATATATCATTTTGCCAATATTATCGGCCAATATGAGCCTGTTGCCGATATATCGGTATCGGCGAATATGCCGCCGATATGAACATTTTTTCTATCAATAATAACAATTAAAAGAGCTTCTTTATTGTCATTGTACATGAGAAACACAAAACATGAGAAAGTTCATGTTTCACAATCCTAAAAGCAACTCCAAAGAAAAGACAAACTTCATTCCGTGTGAAAAGGTTATCTGAATGTGGAGGATCTTTCTGATATTATTCACACAATAGATCATTCATTCAGGCCCAGATAAACTCATCTAAACGATAGTGTTCATTTTAGCAGCTCAAAACACACTGAAGCATCAGGCTGATACTTTATAACTTTTCTGAACTGATTCTAAACTAAATTTGACAAGTCCTTTGTGAAAAATGTTACATTACTTTTATTTGGCATGTCTGGGAACTTGAGGGTTTAAAATGAGAGCGAATACATTTATATATTTTTATGTGTGTTTTGAGTATTAATATTATATTATTATTTATTTTTCCATTTAGGTGTTTATATATCTTTTTGACGTAACTTACATTCAAAATAATTTTTGATGTCTTTGAAAGAGTCTCTTATGCTCACCAAGGCTGCATTTATTTAATCCAAAATACAGTAAAAAATAGTGAAATAATATTATAATTTAAAATAGATGCTCTCTGTGTATATATAGTAGAGCCCGACCGATATATCATTTTGCCAATATTATCGGCCAATATGAGCCTGTTGCCGATATATCGGTATCGGCGAATATGCCGCCGATATGAACATTTTTTAATTGTTCAAAGAATATCGGCCGATATATCGATATTGGCCTTTTTTTTTACAACCTAATATCGGTATCGGTATCGGCCCCAAAAAACCCCATATCGGTCGGGCTCTAATATATAGTAAAATGTAATTTATTTCTGTGATACGCAGCTGAATTTTCAGCATCATTACTCCAGTCTTCAGTGTCACATGATCTTCAGAAATCATTCTGATATGCTGATTTGCTGCTCAAGAAACATTTCTTATTATTATCAATGTTGAAAACAGTTGTGCTGCCCAATATTTTTGTGGAAGCTGATTCATTTTATTTTTCAGGATTCACAGATGAATAGAAAGATCAAAAGAACAGCATTTATTTAAAAATAGAAATCTTCTGTAACATTATAAATGTCTTTATCATGACTTTTGATCAATTTAATGCAGCATTGATGAATAACAGTATTAGTTTCTTTCAGCATTTGTCTGACCTCAAACTTTTGAACAGTAGTGTTACATTTGTTACAGGTTTTGTAACGCTGAACACCTACACAAGACCTTCATGTTATAATAGCTGAGAGTCGAAAGTAACATTGATGTGATGCTGTGTGAAGTTTAATTTGCCGAGAAGCGAGCGTCTGATGGGTTTGGGCTGTGAATGCTGATGTTTCAGGAGCTCAGACTCCTTCAGCTCGTCTCCAGAGAGCAGGATCCGTTACGCCACAGACTGCCAGACTCCGGCCGAAGCGGCCCTGACATCCAAGCTTAAAGTCTCTGCTTTCTGCATCTGATATCGTCAGTGTCTGTTGTTTTCCCTTCAGGCTAATCATCCGATTTGTCAGCCGCATCCCCGCTGCCATCCTCACTTTACCTCAACAGATTCTCCACATCAGATCACATCAGAACGGCTGTTTTCACAGTGTCAGCACAGACGGCGCGTTGTCAGCCGCATCCCCGCTGCCATCCTCACGTTACCTCAACAGATTCTCCACATCAGATCACATCAGAACGGCTGTTTTCACAGTGTCAGCACAGACGGCGCAATAGTCAAATTATACATGCTTAGAGCAGTAATTGACTCAAAAGTGATCATTCATCTTCTCTGTCCATTAGTTCTGTATGTGTTTTATGAGGAAAACCATTTTTATGGTGGTTACAGTGTTATTTTAGTATAATTGAGAGGAAAAAACTAAAAAATAAAAAGACAAAAACACAAAGTTACTAAAACTGATAGAAAAAAATGTAATTAAGATATAAAAATAAGAAATAAATTATTTTAATAGCTTATTAAACTTTAATAGCATTTAAATGATACTACAAAACATTTAAATGATAAAAGTTTTAGTGATTTTGTTTTTGTCATTTTTAGTAGCTTGTTTTTTTGTTAAATGTCTATATTTTTATTTATTTTATTTAAGTTTTAGTTCATTTTCAATGTAATTATTACTTTTTAAAATAATATATATTAGTTAGCAGCTTCATATTTTTGTGGCAACGGTGATTCTTTTTATTTTTTAGGATTCACAGATGAATAGAAAGTTCAAAAGAGCAGCATTTAATTGAAACCGAAATCTTTTGTTACATTATAAATGTCTTTACTGTCACTTTTGACAAATGTAATGTTTCCTTGATGAATAAAAGAATTTGTTTATTTAAAAAAAACAAAAAAACAATCTGACTGACCTCAAACTTTTAGACTGACATTTTAAACTGATAGTGTTACATTTGTTACAAATTTTGTAACCATGAAAACCTACATAAGACCGTCATGCTTCTAAATTAAAATGAGGAATGTTGCCTTGGCCACTAGCTGAAATTAAAATATAATAATAATAAAAATATTTTATTTCAGTTAACATGTATTTCAAGTAATGGTTTTAGTTTTATCTATAATAACTCCGAGTGGTTGTCATCTAATAGATTTGTAGCTGAATGATACTAAAACGATGATATTGGTCTCTGGTGTTTGCAGGGGTCCGTACCTGGTGGCGATGGGCAAATCGTGGCATAAGGAGGAGTTCACCTGCTCTCACTGTCACAGTTCTCTGGCAGACGTGGGTTTCGTAGAGGAGCGCGGCTCCGTCTACTGCGAGCGCTGTTATGAGCAGTTTCTGGCCCCGGCCTGCTTCAAATGCCAGCAGAAGATTCTGGGGGTGAGAGTTTGTGTTGCTAGCTAGTGGTGTTCACCAAGTCTACTATTGCTTCCTTCAAAAAAAAAAAAAAAAGTTCAAAGTTTTGTTTTTCCATCATCCTGCAGCATTTGTGAATGATTCCACAAATCGTGTGTCTCATTGGACTGTAATTAATTAAAATCAGTGACACTATTTACTATTAACTTCAGTGGTGTGACTGTAACTCAACTGTTGTCTGGTAAAATGAAATATAGGCCTACACTGCTGTTTAAAATTTTCGGATCAGTAAGAATTTTCATGTTTTTTAAAGTTTCTTCTGCTGGCTGCGTTTATTTGATCAGAAATACAGAAAAAACAGTAAAATTGTGAAATATTATTGCAATTTAAAATAATTGCTTTCTATTTTAAAATACTTGAAAATATAATTTATTTCTGTGATGCAAAGCTGAATTTTCATCAACATCACTACTCCAGTCTATTTTGAATAAATGCTGTTCATTTTAAATTTTTATTCATCAAAGAATCCTGAAAAAACTCACAGATTCCAAAAAATATTAAGCAGCAAAACAGTTTCCAGCACTGATAATAAATCAGCATATTAGAATGATTTCTGAAGATCATGTGACACTGAAGACTGGAGTAATGATGCTGAAAATTCAGCTGCGCATCACAGAAATAAATTACGTTTCACAATATATTCACATAGAAAACAGCTATTTTAAATAGTAAAAATATTTCACAATATTACTGTTTTTTCAGTATTTCTGATCAAATAAATGCAGCCTTGATGAGCAGAAGAGTCTTCTTTAAAAAGTAATAAAAATCTTACTGATCCCAAACTTTTGAACGGCAGTGTATTTATTAAGTATAAGTGACAGAAATACTTAAATATATAATATCTGAAACAGTAATTTTGATTGTATTTAAATATTTTGAAATACATTTTCATATATATATATATATATATATATTTATCAAATATAGATATTTGAAATATTATATAAAATATTATATATTTTTTTATTATTTAAATATAATTATACATTTAAATATAATTGTCCCCTTAAATACTTATAATTGAAACAATATAATTGTTCGTCACGAGTGATGCTCTTAACTAGTTTGAGAGCTGCTGTACGTGAGCATCATCCCGTCATCACCGTCTCCTCTCCTCGTTTTCTCCATGATTGTTTCCCTGTAAAGCTTCATTCCTTCGTCATTCCCAGCCTTCCTCCTCTTGTTCTCTCTGTGGGAACGGGCTTTAATCGGGATCATAAGGTCTGGTTTATCTGGTCCCAGCCGCTCAGATGTGTCACAATTAGCACTTCACATGAACCTGCCTCAGAAACACACGGGACGCTGAGCCGCTCGGGCGGAAGGGCTTCACTCGGATAATGAGCCTTAAAATGCCTGTTTCATTGTCTGAAGATCACATTTCATTTACAGGAGATCCAGAAACTTGTGTGAACATCATTAGATCAGATCTGCACTCAGTTTATAGATCTGATCAGTGTGTTAGTCAATCACTGATTGTCTCAAGTTCAATTTCAGTCCATGTTTTAAAGGGGTCCTATTATGCTCTTTTACAAAGTCTTGATTTTGTTTTGGGGGTGTACTAGAACAGGCTCTCATACTAGGTTGTTCGAAAAACACATTATTTTTCACATATTTTACATTATTACAGCACCTCTCTCCCCAGTCTGGCATGAACAGCTCGAATAGTTCCTGTATCAAATGAAGGCCCGCCTTCTGAAATACGAAATGTGCTGTGATTGGTTAGCTGGGCCAGTGTGTGCTGTGATTGGTTAGCTGGGCCCAGTGTGTGCTGTGATTGGTTAGCTGGGCCAGTGTGTGCTGTGATTGGTTAGCTGGGCCAGTGTGTGCTGTGATTGGCAGCACTCGGCGCCTGGTCGGGAAATGTCATGCCCCTT